ACAGTTGAGTGGGCATGAAAAAATACACACTGGCGTCTGTGAGGGCACATCACAAAAATGGGTGGTGGTGGTGGTGGTGGTGGTGGTACATGCAGAGTGGTTGAAGAACCAGCGGCCTCTCGTGACTGACGGGCACGCCGTGAAAAGGGTGCGCGTGCGTTGGAAACTGCGACGACTGGGTTACTAGCCGTGAATCAACACGATTCACTGCAAATTATTCGACCAAAGGCTAAAAGGCTTCTTCGTACACAGATAAGGTCTCCTTTTAATTAAACAAACAGTAAACAAGTGTTTCTAATTGAGATCGGTGGCTACACGATGTGCTCAGGAGACCCCGAACCTCACGGACGGTCCAAACTTGCTGACTAACTCGTACTTACACAAACTCAGGTGAGTCCAGATTTCCGTTCTGGATGATAGACCTGTCAGGTTGTGGCAGATCATGTTAGTAGTAAGGCAGATCGGTTCCCAAAAGAGAGCGCCAGTTTTTTTGCTTTTGTGGTGTGTTTTGGCTCGATCATGTTTGGTCTTCTGACTGATGCGCCTAAAGATTTTCAGGTTGAGCAGAGTGGCCGGAATGACCAAACGAATGTCAAATTTGGACGAGAATCATCGCTTGAAGCAGCGGCAGTAGTGGTAGTACACCTCGCTCGGATTATTCAGCATGCACTCAAGCTCCTTTCATTGTTCTAGATCAGGCAGAATCTTGGTGGAGGCGAATTTAAACGGAAGAAAGCATTTGCAGCAAACCCTGTTGGCAGTCGCGATGAGGCGGAAGGTCTCTTTAGAGTGGAATTTGTCTCGTGGAGTCATTTGTCTGTCAGGATGATGCTGCTTTGCCTGCGTTTGGTACTCGCGTCCGACAACTAGGACGTCGGCGTCACGACCAATGCCTCCAACATTGCGAAATCCACAAATGGACACGGCAATAAGCAATTCAGAAAAAAATGTGATGCCAACCAATCTGATGGCTTAAAATGAACCAATAAAAACTTGAGGGCACTCTGGCGCTAGCCCAATCGATTTTGCTTGCACATGCATTGGCTTCCTTCGCCCACATACTCAAAAACACTTCTCAGGTCATCATAACCGCGTAATTAATCGACCACCTACTTCTCATCTCATTTTAACGCAGTGCCGTGGTCAGTTCTGTGATTTAAGCCACTGCCCCAGCCCCATGTCTACACTTGGTATTCGTGGACTGGCGTGTGAATAGTCGGAATTCGTGTCCCATTTCCATACCTCGTTGGATGCTTACATTCTAATTCGTCACAACAAAATCATAAAAAAGGAGAAGTCAATGCCCGTTGGGACTTAGTGGGCCTTGACAAACAGACAGAGTCGATGCCATGGTTATGAAAGCGGGTTAGTGAGTTCATGCAAAAACTGGGAGGAACATGTAAGGAGTGAAATCTGGAACAATCTATGACTCTGATTTGTGTGCTTCCATACTTTGAATAGGCGATAACGTTTGTTAGGCACGGGAAAGTCACTTTCCCATACGACCAGTAAACAACCACGAGGTAGAATCTTCCCCTTCTTTAGCATAGCGTGGTTAGCCACAACTCGAAATGCACTTGGTGTTGGTGACGTTGCTTCTCCCGGTTACAACAAAGAGGCGCGATTTGGGTTTTAAGTCTCAACCTAACATAAATCTATACGTGGGCTTCGATAAAACTATGCGATCAAACCGGGCGAAAAATCAGTGCCCCGTCTTGTAATTTATTCCCCGAAAATGCTTTTAAAAATTAGGCGGTTTGCAAAAGAGATTGGTTGGTACAAATCACATCCGAGTCAGCTTACAGATTTAAGAGAAAAAAGGTGGCATTTTTGACAAGTGAGATAACGGAAACAGGTTATGTGACCATCTAATTATCTGTAAACACACATTTCACGTTGACTACATGGAGGACAGCAGAGTTTCACACAGAAAGAAAGATTCTTAACTCCATGCTTAAAAAAAACAATGTTGGAACCCGACAACTATACATACGACCATTAGTGATCCATGAGGCACGTCAATTTTATTATTGACAGGTATAGAACCGTATAGTACCACTGCAGTTTAAAGTAAAGATGAAACTTAAACACACCATCAAAACATGTTTGCTTGTCGCTGTACGTTCCTTCCAACTGTGCACCATTTAAAAATAATCGAAACAAGAGCAGCAGGATGATACTGCAGCGTGGGGACAGAGGGCCGCCATTTTGGTGCTCGGTCATTGGTCGAGATCAAGTGGCGCGGCGTTGCAGCGGCATCAGGTGAGAAGTGGCGTGTTTTCCGGTTGTGTGGAGCAGTGGGATTTCGAATGGAGCGCCAAATCTCAAATATCCAATCACTTCGCGAGTTCGCCTTTTTATTTCTAGAAGCCAAGCCGGAGCCAATGGGCGGACACGGGCGATCCGAACCGAGTATATAAGCCAACCCCTTGTCCCAACAAGCGTAAACTCGGATTGTGGCGGCTTCCATTAGCATTCTGCGCCAGTAAATCTGTATAACCATCCCTATTTCTTCTTATTAGGTCCAAGCAAACCAGATTAAGAGAACGCAGAGCAGGCTGTTCTCCTGAGATGCCATATGAGGACCCCGAACACACCGAGAGGGGTAACTTCGTTAACCCCTCCGACGAAGCCTGTCGGCTGTATGAACTGTGGCATCGGAGGTTACGCTACGGAGAGACAATTGCAGGCTATTTGGACGAGTTATACGACATGGTCTCCAACGTATATCGGGGCGAGTCCGAGGAGGTGATTAAGCAGGAGACTGTGAAACATGCCCTCATGGGCCTCACAACAGATGAGGTGAGACGCTACGGGTACCTCATGGACCGCCCCTTGGAGGAAGTCGAGAAAATCCTTTCTCGGGATCCAAATTTGACCCGCACTCCTCCGGTCGGTAGCCGTCAACGGACATGGCAGCCGCGAGGAGGTCATAGATCCCAGGTTACGAGGGGCCCAACTGGACACAGACCCCATCAACCTTCATCAAAGCAGTAGAGCAATTCAGGTGCGTTAGTTCCATGCCCCGCTGTTTATGCATCATGTCTGGGTTGTGGCCCCTTATATCCGTAGGTTTATGCAACAGATTAATGCATTTTTTAGTAGATACGAGGGAAGGTTGTTCCTTGTTAACCCTCACCGGTTTCCCATGCATGCGTTCGACCCTTATCTAGTGGCGCAGTGACGGGTTCGTGGATATGCCTTTTGCAGTAGCAGGAAACGAGTATCAGCACACCGCATCTGTGTACAGAGGGCTCTAAGCACTACCTCTTGGGGGTT